GCTGTAGCCATATCCAAAAGTTATCGACATCTCCTGTATTTCTAACATTCCGCCCGCCTTCGTTAACTGTAATTAACGAACAAGTTACAACTGAGTTTGATTGACATCAAGAGGACATATCTTGGTAATAGGTCGTTGAAGTTCAGAGAATTGAGTCTTAACTGTTACGACTCGCGTATGACCATCAGGTCCCGGATGGGTTTTTATGACTCGTCCAAGTGGCCACTTAGAAGGTGGATAATTATCGTTAACAATCAAAACTACAGTTCCTACAGCTATCGAAGGATTAACTTGGTTCCACTTGTAGATTGAGAGTTGTCTCTGAAGATAGTCTTTAGACCAATGTGACCAGAAATTTTCGAGTTTCTGTTGCAACAGTTGCCATCTGTTTAAATGAGAAATCTGAACTAGTGCTAGAGAAGGTTCAGGAAGAGTCGAAAGCGCTTCTCCTATAAGAAAATGTCCTGGTGTTAAAATGGACAGATCATCCGGATCATCAGACAACCTACATAGAGGGCGTGAATTCAGAACAGCTTCAATTTGGAATAGAAGAGTAGTCATGTCTTCATAGGTTAGCAAAGTATCCCCTATTGTACGCTTTAAATGGTATTTGACTGATTTAACTCCTGCCTCCCACTTTCCTCCGAAGTGAGGTGCCGAAGGAGGGTTAAATTTCCATTGAGTGCCGTTATTGAGCAAACTGGATGATATATGTTTCCACTCATCAGATGCGGCAGAAAACAATCGTTTGAGTTCTTTATCTGCTCCCTGAAAATTAGTACCACAATCACTAGTGAGAGTAGCACAGATACCGCGTCTGGAAATGAATCTTCTATATGCGGCAATGAAGGCCTCAGATGTGTAATCGGTAACAAGTTCCAAGTGAATCGCAGAAGTTGCTAAACAAACAAATAATGAAATGTAACCTTTATAGGTTTTAGCGTTCCTTCCTCTCCAAGTTTTAATTGTAAATGGACCAGCGTAATCTACACCTGAATGTAGAAATGGTCTAGCGGGAACCACTCTTTCAACAGGGAGTTGACCCATAAGTTGCTGAGCTCGCTGTTGCCGAAATCTAATACATTTGACGCATTTTAGAATAAAAGACTTTACCGGTATCCGACCTCTAATAATCCAATAAGTTTGTCGAATAAATGACAGCGTAAACTGAGTTCCTCCGTGGAGGGTTCGAGAATGTGCATCGTCTATAATCAAAGTAGTAAAAGCAGATTCTTTGGGTAGTATGAAAGGATGTTTTGCTTCGTTAGAAAGTAATGATTGTTGAAGTCGTCCACCTACTCGTAGAAGTCCATTGGAATCTATGTAAGGAGCAAGTTTAGTCAAGGGATTCGATTTAGGAAGTGAATGTCCTTGCGATAGAATTTTAAGCTCTGGTGAGAATGAAAATTGTTGAACAATTTTGATCCAAAAATATTTCTCATTATTGATATCATTGACTGAAAGAAAGGGAGTTAATTCAGATTTAGTATCTTTATGAGCTTTACGAATGAATTTTCGACATAAGGCTGTAATTCGTAATAACTTAGTAAGGTTCGAGTATTTTGTGAGAAGATCCCAAACTTCCGGATGCTGATTAGTTACAAAAACACAAATTCGGTGTTCGCGTTCTTCTAAATTCTCAGAAATAAGGGATGAAGGAATTTGTGGCCACGCAGAATTTGGGCTTGACAACCATTCAGGACCGCTCCACCACATGGAACTTTCATTTAATTGTGAGGGAGAAATTCCTCTTGTAGCTAAATCTGCTGGATTTTGTACACCTGGGACTAAACCCCACTTGCATTGCGGTAAAGTATCCTGAATAAAAACAACTCTGTTATGTACAAACTCCTTCCATCGAGAAGGATGATTGGTAATCCATTGATAAACCACTTGCGAATCTATCCATGCAAAGACGGGTAATTTAGGCTTTTCTAGAGTAAGAAGAATCGACTGAATTAATTTGACAAGTAATACAGCTGCTATAAGTTCAAGTCGTGGTATAGTTAATCTTTTTAAAGGTGCAACCTTTGTCTTTGACGCTACAAGAGTGATGGTAACAGATTGATCAGTAGAACAAGCACGTAAGTAAACCACTGCTGCTGCTGCATTCTGAGACGCGTCGCTAAATCCATGTAATTCAAATGAATCGGTGGAATTGAACCCAATCCATCTAGGGAATGTGAAACTGGATGCTTCTTGTAATTGACATATGAATCGATTCCATTTGTTAAGAAGGACCGTAGGAAGTTCGTCATCCCAACCGAGTCCACTAGCCCACAATTCCTGAATGAGAATTCTGCCAGAAATGGTGATAGGTGAAATAAATCCTAATGGATCGAAGATTTTTGAAATTGTCGAAAGAATAGTACGTTTAGAGATTAATTTTGGCTCATCAAGATTCAACGTAAATCTAAATTGATCAATGGATGGATGCCATGACAACCCTAGGGTATGTATTATAGAGGATTCTTCTATTTGAATTGATGCCTTATCAAGTCGTAGATCGACAGGAATAGAGCTAAGAATATCTAGCTCGTTGCTGACCCATTTCTTTAACGGGAAACCGCCCGCCATGCAGAGACTATTTACCTGCTCAACGACCCTACGAGCGTTTTGTATCGTATCTTCCCCTCCAAAGAAGTCGTCGACATACCTTTTCTTTTTCATCGTTGGAATAGCTAAAGGAAACTTGTGTCCTTCATCACGTATCAACTGTTCGAATGCACGTAAAGCTAAGAATGGCGCACAATTCAGACCATAAGTAACGGTAAGAAGAATAAATATAATAAATTTACCCAAGAGATCAATCCATACAATCCTTTGAAAATCCCAGTCGTCTGGATGTATTTGTATCTGTCTGTACATTTTCTCAATATCTGCGAAAAATACGTATCGAAATAGTCTGAACCAGATAAGAACGTTGAACAAATTGAGTTGCAATTTTGCTCCCGAATGAAGAATCTGATTTATTGAATAGCCGGTAGTTGTTTTACTGGAGCCGTTGAAGACGACTCGTAATTTAGTACTGAGACTATGTTCCCGGTAAACACCATGGTGAGGAAGATAGTATACTAGATCCGGTTCATTTTGCGTATCAACTCTTTTCATGTGATCTAATGCTTCGTATTCATTAATAAAATCTTTATACAATTGAGCATGAGTATCGTTATTAGAAAGTTTATGATATAAGTTAGTCATTTGTCGAATGGCTTTAGCCTTTGAATTTCCCAACTTATGCGGGGAATCTTTAAATGGAAGTTTGACGATATATCTACCATTTGTGTCGCGAGAATGAGTAGTTACAAAATGGTCTTCGCAGTCTTGTTCGTCTTTAGATAAAGTCTTATTCGAAACTGAAACTTCTTCCGTCTCCCAGAATTTCTTAAGGAGATCATGAAGATCCTCATCAACTGAAACGTGATAACCTTGAGCGTGAGAACTAATTTTACAAAGGCTAGCCAACCCGGATACAATCCAACCAAGCTTGGTTAATTGAGCGATAGGCGTATCAGGCTCTCCTCTTACTATACCTTCTTCTATGATATGAGGGTACACGTTAGCCCCTATTATTAGGTCGATGGAACCTGGCTTATTAAATGTTGGATCGGCTAATTGAAGATTATTCAGATGCAACCATGCATCTCTATCATGCGAAAGAGAAGGAAGTGAAGAGGTCAATTTCGGCAAAATGTAAGCATCTATGTTCATTTCGAAATCTGATTGAAAATGTGGCTTGAATACGAATGATGTTATGCCTTTAGTTTTATTATCCTTTTGTGCACCAATTCCTATCAACGACGTAGATGAATGACGTCGAGGCAATTTAAGTAGTTGGACAACTCTTTCTGTTACAATTGAAACTTCTGAACCCTGATCAATAAGCGCTCTGATTTGTTTTAATTGCCCTGACGGGGATACGATAATGACTTTAGCTGTAGCTAATAAAATTGAAGATCCAGTAAATATATCCCTGGAAGAATGTAAAACCTTTGCTTCAGATTTAATTGAAGTGTCAGCAGAAGAGATCTTATTATCCGTGTTCTCCTTATTATTCGACTTAGATGCATTTGCTTGATGAATTGTAGTATGGTGTTTCCGGCCACACTTTTGACAACGTTTGGTTACACGACAATTCGAAACTCGGTGCGTTCCCAAGCAATTATAACAAAGTTTATTTTTTGAGACAATATCTAATTTTTGTTGTATCGTTTTTGAAGTATATCTAGGACAAAAGGCGATATAATGCTTTTCTTTGCATAAAATACAACGTGACTTTTGATTGTCATTTACTTTACTTTGATGGTGAACTTTAACCGAATTTGGTTTAGTTGGTTGTAATGACCTTTTTTGCTGAGACCTTTCAAAAGACTGTAAAGAGGACATCCGTGAGAATAAAAATTCCTTGAACTGTTTCCATGTAGGAGGCTTTCTTGTTGAGCCTAAATGAGATTCCCATAATTTATTGGTTTCGGCATCTAATTTTTGAGCACTAATTAATATTATGAAATCTTCACATTGTTCAACAGGTCGTTCTAGCGTTTCGAGCGTACGATAAAGTTGTGTAATATTTGAATAAAGTTGTTGAAGTTCAGTAGCGGATTCCTTTGTCATTCGTTTAAGATTGAGAAAGGATTGAATAGTGGTATTGACTAATAGTCTTGTATTTTCAAAGAATTCGGTGAGTGAATCCCAAGTTTGTTTGAAATTCTCAGCAGTCAAAGCTGTATGCTTAACTAAATCGAA